AAATTATCAGCAACCTCTGAACTGGCACAGTGAGATAATTGGAGATCCATTTTGAACGTTTATTCACCCTATATCTACGTATACTTAAAGTACATTTTTCACCCCTTTACTGTTAATTAAATCCAGCGGCTATAGAACAGCTCAGCATGGGATACGAAGCTCACCTATCTGCAGCGGCGCAGTCAATTATGAACAACAATATAATTAGGCTTGCAATTATACCTCCATACTGCACTTCCAAATTTATTCAGCATTTAATTCAACCATGCCGTGCTAGTTATTGAGGAATTCTAAGAATAATCGATAAATCCAGGCCGTGGGGTTATTGAATTCTCCTTTATTCACTCAGCTATATGATAGATTTGAGTACCCGACTTCTCACCAATAAGGCCTTATTAAATGGAGATTACCCCTTCTTATAAACCAGTAGGCTTGAGGTGTTTAGTCGGTGTGAGAATCTAACACTCTCCTCACGGTCAAGCCCATATGTTGGTCTGCCTGTTATTAGAGGTAGTTATCGGCTCTAACTCCTCACCCGCTGGTCAACATCAGCTCAACTGAATCTGACTTTGATACCATAATAGAATTTGAGGTGAGCTTAACCTCTCACCCAATAAAGTCAACCCTTAATCCAAAAAAGGAAAGTAAAAAAAAAAAAAAAAAAAAAAGGTAAAAAAAGTTTAAAATAGTCAAAGTCAAAGTCAAAAAATGTGTGGAGAAATTCTTCGCAAGAACCCGATTCCAAATTTCACTGAAACTTCACTATGGGAGGTCATTATGAGAGTCAGCATGTACAGGTGAACCGGCAAGCTCAACAACAACAACAAGAGAAGTTCTATTGTTGCGGTTGTGAAAATGAAAGAAGATGCCAAAAAGCTTCTTCTTTGTAGCCACTGTTGGAAATGATGATAAGTCTTTACATGTATACATCTTTTCTAATAGTACATGGATAATTGATTCTATCTACGATCATATGCATTCGATTCTAGGCATGTTTAACTTTAAAACATCCCAAAAAGATTTGTTTCTACTGCCAATGGTGAGTCCACTGAGTCATTGGGGAAGGATCATTAACCCTTAAAAATATTTACACTTAGATTATGTGTTAGTTTCCATCCCTAAATTAACTTGTTGTCAGTCTCCAAAATAACCAAAGCTTTATCTTGTGTGGTGACTTTTTGGCCTAACTTTTGTGAGTTTAAAAGCATTCAAACAAAGCAGACGATTTGTTATGGTGTTAAAAGGGGCATTGTATTACTTGAATTTAGAGTCACAAAATTCTAACCGTGTTAAAGCAGGCTTTGACAGTAGATTGCTCAAAAAGGGATAAACAAAAATCTGACATTGGTTATAGCATCGAGCCTCGGACATGGTTTATTTGGTTACTAAAGAAACTTTTTCCAAGTTTGTTTGAAAAAAATGATATTAATAACTTCGTTGTGATGTTTGTGAACTATCAAAAACCATCGATCCCATTTCCAACATTCAAAACAAAGTCCAAGTCCTTTTATGCTTATACACTCAGATGTCTGGGGCCATCACAGTTACTACTTTAGGGGATCCGTTGGTTTGTTATTTTTATTGATGATTATCAAGAAATACTTGGGTATGTCTAATGAAATCTAAGGGAGGTTAATTTACTCTTTCAGAGATTTCACAAAATGGTTTGTAAGCAGTATAATGCACAGGTTCAGGTCCTTAAAGTGACAATGGAGGAGATATCAAAGTTTAGATCTTCAACAGTACTTGGCACACATGGTATCATTCATCAGACTACTTTCCCAACACATCTCAACAATAGGTGTTGCTAAGGGAAAAAATCGGCACTTTTGGAGGTCGTTCGTGCACATTAATAAAGGCTCACTGCCGTTACCTTTTGGGGAGAAGCACTTACCTGCAGCCTACCTAATCAATCGGTACCCTTTAGTTCTCTTCGGTTCAAGACACCTTTTTAGGCTTGGTAAAGCAGTGAATGCTCCACGGTGTTGAACTTACCACCTCATGTTTTTTGTGTACGCATTTGTTCACCTCCATAAACATCAACGCAACAATGTGTCCCATCATCATTGAAATTGTTTTCGTTGGGTATGGTGTTCATCAAAGGGTATTGATGTTATCATCCTCCAACTCAAAAACGTTTGTAACAATGGATGTTGTTTTCCATAAGAGTTGATGTATTTTTCTCTAAGTCTGAACTTCAGGGGGAGTATTGTCAAGCAGAAATTCAGACTCTTGACTATGTGTTCAAGATGTGGGAGCCATGAGTTACAAACTAGACCTATTGTTCAGCAAGAGATGAAGTGGATGATGAAAATGTGGAGGTGGTATCAAACTCGTCCGTAGAAGCTTCTAGTCTGAGTCTCTTATCCTGGTATTTCACAACCATCATTTGTTGAGAATGTTCCTGATTTAGGTCTGAACCAATTGAGTCTGGACCAATTAGGAACACATTACCACCACGTAGTACTAGAGGGATTCCCAAACCAACATACGAACAGAGCTATCTAGTAAAGTCAAATACCCCATGAGTCATTTTGTGTCTAACCATCGTCTGTCAAAAACGAATGTCATTTGTGAATGAATTATCTATTGTATCTATTCCTAACAGTGTGCTGAGCCTTATCTGATCCAAAATGGAAAGCTACTATGAATGAGAAAATGAAATCATTACAGAAGATGAGACTTGGGAACTTGTTGATTGTCCACCCGAAAGAAACTTTGGATGTCGATGGTTTACACTGTGAAGTATAAAACTGATGGTATAATTGAGAGATTCAAGCAAGACTAGTAGCAAAAAGGTACACCCAATCCCATGGGATCAACTATATAGAGACATTTGCACCCGTAGTAAAATCAACACGGTAAGTGTCTTATTATTTTTAGCTGCAACCTAGATTGGCCTTACAACAGTTGATGTGAAAAACTTTCCTACTTGGAGAATTGTCTGAAGAAATCTATATGGATTCCCGCCAGTGTGTATTTCCCAGGAAACATGCCAAAAATGTATATAAGTTAAAGAAGTCATTGTATGGGTTAAAACAATCTCCGAGGGCATGGTTTGGGAGGTTCACCAAAGCTATGAAGTTTTTTTGCTACCATCAGAGCAATTTAGATCACACATATTTCTTAAAAAACAACAAGAAAAGATCACTGCACTTATTGTATATGTGGATGATATGGTGGTTACAGGAAATGATCCAGAAGAAGGGCACCTACAAAAGTATTTATCAGAAGAATTCGAGATAAGGCCCTAGGTTCTTTGAAATTTTTTCTCGAATTGAAGTGTCTCGATCTAACAGAGGTATCTTTCTATCAAGAAAGTATGCCTTGGATATGTTGCAGGAAACTGGTATGTCAGATGTCAACCAGTACACCAATCGAGAAGGCTTGAAATTAGGAGTCAAGACGATCAAGTACCAGTTGACAATGGAGATACAGAGACTTGTGGAAGATTGATGATTGTCTCATACTAGGCCATATCTTGCTTATGCATTGAGTATAGTCATCAGTTCATGCATAATCCTGGAGACAGCATATGAACGCAGTTATGCGTATCCTGAGATATTAAAACATGCTCCTGGAAAGGAATCTTATTCTAAAAATAAGACTACCAAAATGCATGCTATACTAATGTGATGGGGCTGGAGCAGGGGATGATAGACGATCTCTTCTGGTTATTTCACTTTTGTAGGAGGTAATCTATTCACGTGGAGAAGCAAGAACAAAATGTTGTGGCTGCTCGAGCGCTGAAGCAGAATTTAAAGGAATGGCACTTGGGATTTTTGAAGCTTTGGGGCTAAGATTTCTACTACAAGATTTGGGTTATCAACCTAATCACCACCTCTAGTTATATTTACAATAAAACAGCAGTGACATTACTCACAATCAGTTAATATGACGTACGAAGCATGTTGAAGTAATAGATTTTTATCAAAGAAAAACTGATGAAAGATTATTGAACTACCTAAATTCTCAGAGGATCAAGTGCCGATATTCTTACCAAGGTTGTCTCCAAACGTATTTTCTTACAAGTGTTAGACTGTTGACAAAGTTGGACATGTGTGACATCTACACACCAACTTAGGAGAGTGTTAAGATTTTCATAATATTATGTAAATCTTTTGTAATCGGTAAATATTTATAATCTTAGTTATGTCATTATACAATCTCATAATATTCAGAGATTATGTAATCTCCTAATTATGTCACACAAAATATTGTGTAATTCAATTGACATAATTAAGGGATTTAGGAGATCGTATACTCCCATATAAAAATAACTCGTTAGTGATAAATCATAATTAAAAACATATAATTCTTCATTAAACACTATATGTATTCTAAATTAAGTACTAACCTAGACAGTTTTCATCTTTGTTTACTCTACAGGCCCTGGCTAGAACATGAAATTGAAAGAAGGGGAAGCATCATCTAGACAAACCCAAATACGGGAAGTATCAAGGCCCTGTTTGGTAGGTGGGAAAAAAATTGGATTGGCTGAGGGCTTGGCCAGCCGATTAAGTAATTCTTTTACGGTTAACCATTCCTGGTGTGAATACCAACAATACCCATAAAAAAGCTGAATTCCGAATTAAGGACACACTGTATTGTCGTTGGTACTTGGTAGGAAGGAGCCAAGAAATAAACGAAAGCACATGGAGGTGGCTTAGCCTAACCAAATTCTTGCCATGTGCTTACTCAAATTACAATCCAATCAGTTTATACTTTAAATTGCGTAATTAGCGGATTTCTTTCCGAATATTTTGTCAAAATCCATGATCATACTCACTCGGGCACGTCTGTTAAGATTCTATAATCATAATGGAATGAACCGCCGGGCACGTCGGTTAAGGGTCCATGTCTTTTTTTTTTTCATTTTTCATTTTTAAAAATGTTTAAAAATTGTGAAGAGGGAAATGAAAATAAATAACAAATGCTGTAAATGATGATAAGGATTCGTTGGATACGTAGCTGGCAAAAGGTTGGCTAGGTCAGCTAACATTTCAACCGCAAAGCAAATTGTTTTCTTTCTCTTTCTCTCATTGGCCCATTCTTTCCTTTTACTCTCTCTCTCTCTCACGCACACATTGTGTTTGTTTTGCCCATTCCCATTCCCTGTCGCTGTCTCTTCTATTAGGGTTCTTAGCTGGACTGCTCTCGTATCAATTCAAGTCTTTAATTCATTTTCTTGGTGTTTGGCTGAGGTTGGTGAAGAAAGTTATTCTTTCTTGATTAGACGGAATGAGCAAAATCTGAGGAAACAAAGGAGCACTCTCTATAGTGTATTTTGTCTGGAATTAAGTAACGGAGTAAGAGATCTGGTGGCGGAGATGAGCGCGTCCAGGTTCATTAAGTGCGTAACGGTCGGTGACGGCGCCGTCGGCAAAACCTGCATGTTAATTTCCTATACCAGCAACAGTTTTCCTACGGTCAGTTGCTAAACTTTTTGTTTTCTTCTTTGCTTTTTGATTCCGGCATTATTATGTATTTTGCGATATTAATTAGCATTAAATGCTAGATAGAACATTATTTCTTTTTGTATTATTCAAATTTGGTAATTTACCCCTAATTGGCGCTATGTATTAGAAACTGCAGCCAGTGATTTCTCTGTTAGGTGCTTAATTGAACTCTTGTTCGATAATAGTTCAGTGTTTTGCTTTTGATGGTTTAATTTTTGCTTTCTGTTTGCTTTCTGTTGACTTACTGCTGACCATGGGAAATATAACAGGACTATGTGCCAACTGTGTTTGACAATTTCAGTGCAAATGTAATTGTTGATGGCAGCACCGTCAACTTGGGATTATGGGATACAGCTGGTAATTTTCATGTCTAACTAATGAATTTTATCCAACAATAGAGCTTTTCCTGGCTTGGGTTTGAATTAAGCACTTTTGAACAGGTCAAGAGGATTACAACAGATTAAGACCGTTGAGTTACAGAGGTGCCGATGTCTTTATTCTTGCTTTCTCTCTTATTAGCAAGGCCAGCTATGAAAATGTTGCCAAGAAGGTGTTGAGTTGTTTATGACTTTTCTCTTGAGATGATAAATATGTTTGATGTAAGTTGTCTGCAAGTACATTTGCTGATAAATTGTTTGCTTGGTTTCTGTTTCAGTGGATTCCAGAATTGAGACACTATGCACCTGGTGTTCCAATTATCCTTGTTGGAACAAAGCTTGGTACGGTGTTCCAGAATTATAATCTTTATAAATGATTGTAACAAGCCTAGTGTTTCTTGATTGTGACTTCTTTTGACTTTTCTAGGTTTGTGTTTAAGGCAAAGAGTCTGTGCTATAGGATGAGTATCATTTTAGTTTTCAAATTAGACAATTGGCTAAATTTTCCCGTGCTGGTGTTTGATTGAGTGATTCTTGTTGCAACCAGAGATTTTATTCACAAATTTCTGGTTTTTTCCTATAGCATGTATGCTCAAAGGTTGAGAATAATAGGCTGTCAAGATAAATATTGTTAGCATGATTTGCATTAGTTCTTATATGCACTCATATTTGTGGCAGTTGCTAATGTCTTCGAAAAGACAAATTGTAATTTCAGTTTTAGCCTATATTCATATCGTTATGGCCATTCTCTACTTTACATGTACTAGGCTTTGATTGATATTGGAAAGTTCTTATCTCAGGACATCATTTTTTAACCTATCTTCTGTAGAAGTCTTTCTAATCAATGCTTCCGGACTATCTTTCTTTTCTCAAAAGTTTCCCTCAGCTTTTAGATGATTTTTGCCATTTGCAGATCTTCGAGACGATAGGCAGTTTTTTATTGATCATCCTGGTGCAGTGTCTATCACTACAGCTCAGGTAACTAGAACAATATCCTCAGATTAATGCTTCCTTTGGCATACACTTTTTCTTCCTCCCCTAAGACTTTTTCAAATTTTGGTCTGAATTTTCTTTTCACCAAAGGGAGAGGAACTGAAGAAACTGATTGGAGCCCCTGCCTACATTGAATGTAGCTCAAAGACACAACAGGTATGCAAAAAATCTCCATCATTTCTCACTTTTATATGAAGGGATCATGCTCTTGGCCCAGGTTTTGATGGGATTCATATGATGTAACTGCAGAATGTGAAGGCAGTTTTTGATGCAGCAATAAAGGTGGTGCTCCAGCCTCCAAAACAAAAGAAGAAGAAGAAGAAGTCTCAAAAGGCTTGCTCCATACTGTGATCGAGGAAAATCTAGGTCTGACAGAGGAGAGAAAATGACATGGCTACCTAGCCTTACTGCAGTGTTTCTTCATTGTACCTTTTTCCATTCCATTCCATGCCATGTCCCACCCAGAGGAAGCTGCAAGCCGTGGTGTATAATCTGACTGACAATATAGGGATTTCTGAGGAAGCATCAGATGGTTTGTTTCTCAATTTTTACTTGTTAGGTGTGATGTGTATTTAGTGAGTAAGCATTCCCCTTGTTAACGTGCACACCTCTTTTGCTTTTCATGTTTGTACTTGTCGCTTGTATGAATCAGTTGTGAGGAAGATCCCAATTATGAAACAAATTTCTCCTTTTTTTAACAAATACCATTAATATGTCTCCTTCTTACCTATGTAATATCGAGTTTATTCGTAATCAACTTCTTTGTTTTAATTGGTTTGCATTTAATTCAGTTGTTCCCTTATCATTGAACCCATGATTGTTCTTGTTTAATATTTTATCATACTGTTACTTGTTTGGTAATGTTTGATCGTAATATTATTCACAAAATAATATATATATATATATATATATATATATTCCAACTTTACATTAATGTGTTAGTTAATTTAGCATAGTTTTAATATTTATAATTTAATCACATCATCTCACCATCTACTGCATTACTCAATATGAAAAATTAGGACACTAAACCAACTCCCTTTGTGGCCGGATGGTAGACATTGGATTTGGCTTGTTAGTAGACCTAGAGATTGTATTTGATTGATCAGGAGTGTTGTCATCTATTATATTTGTAACTTATTCAATTTATTGAGTTTGTAGGATATTTAATAGGTTTTGAGAATTAAGCGGGTTTGGTGTGTCTCCAGTTCCACTTGAAATGGACCTTAAGGAAAGCGAGGGCCCAAAAACAATAAAAAAAAAAAAAGGGATATTAGTACTTGAGGTGGGAATTAGGCTTGGAAGTTTAGCCTAAAAAACCGGTCCTAGGATCGGATCAAGCCCAAGGGAGGAGAGCTCAGGCCTAGGGCCGGTCCGTCCTCCAAGGCTTGGCCCAAACTCCCTTCTTAATTTCCTTCTAACCGCTGTAAAATATCTAAAATCCCCCTATTTAATATGAAATTGACAATAAATATAGGGGGTCAAATAAATTTTACAAGAAAAAATTTCCAAAGGCCTATGACCAGTCCTAGAGACCGGTCTAGGCCCCGAGAACTGGTCCCTAATTATTTGGGTCTGGGCCTTTCCCACCTCTAAATTTAGTATGATATTATTTTTTATTTATAGCTTAATTTTTATTGTTAGCGTAATTATTTTAATTTCAGAACTCTTTGTACCAACCTAAAAGATTCAAGTAATTGATTTAATTAGCACGTACTCACCTATGAATCTAACATTATCAAATTTTTCAGAATATGTTTATAAATAAAATAAAAATATGAATTAAAGGTATTTAAAATGAATAATACTATACCAATAACCATCTCTTACAAACTTTTTTGGGTGGCTCGCAATTAGTCAGTTTACAATGGATCCCACATGGATCCTGTATAGGTCCTATTAATTAATTACAAATTGACCAATTACAAGTTGTCACGTCAAAATTATGAGATAAAGTTTATAAGAGAGGTTTGTTGGTGTAATATTACACATTTAAAACAATGTTAAATAGATCTAACTAGTAATTTCTATATAATAAACACAACTGGTTTTAATGTTGTAGAACAACTAAATACATATACAGTTTATTTTATGTTTTAAAAATTGAAATTAAAAAAAAAAAAAAAACTCTTAATCAACTAGACTCAATAATCACCATCTTCAATCAAAGTGATGACCTATTTTCCTTTAGGAAGAGGCTCTAATACCATGTTAGGACATCTTTAACCCAACACCATTTTGGTGTAAAATACTAAAATGACGTGGAAATTTTACTTCAACCCAACACTCACAGTCACACCAAATTGGTGTGAATGAATAGCATCACACTAAATTTGGTGTAACACTATCCATCAACTACAAAATATATTTTATTTTCTTATTTTTGTTATTTATTTATTTTTAATTTGTATTTAAGTTAATTTGATTATTATTTATAATAATAAATTCATTTCTCTAGTTGTTAATATATAGTTCGTGTAATTATAATTTATAATATAATAGATTAATAATATATATCTAATTACTTATCTCCTGTTTATTTTAATATTACGATAGAATTATATCAAAGAGGAGTCCTTGTTATTAACCCTGATTAAGACCATCTCCAACCACAAATACCAAATTGGTGTGGTTTTTGGTGTATTTTACTATTGCATTTTCAATCCATTGCACCAAATATTACGCCAAAAAGAATATTCTTTAAAATATTATTTTCTTTTTATTTCTATTAATAATCAATAATTAATTTATTTCACTAATTATTTTTGTATATATTAATTAAATATTGAGAATGATATTTTGATTAAATAATAATAACTTTGAAAATTATACTAATTTAATAAAATTAGACATTTATTTAATACAATAACCATTACATTTAATATAAAAAAATTATATCGAATATAAAATGCAACCAAAAAAAAAAAAAACAACAGTAACACAAAAGTAAAATTTCATATTGTTATTTTAATTTATGTTGTATTTTCTTTTAATTTTAGTGTTGTTAAATTAATGTTAATCTATTTTGAATTATTATAGTTTAATATTTGCATTGAATAAAATTTTGTTTTTAATTTTCCATCATTTTTTGGATTATATTGTCATTTTTTAAAATATTAAGGGGAATTTTGTTAATTAATTAAACTTATTATTTTATTTCATATTTGTTTAATTAATTAAATTGGACATGCAACCTGTGAGTCATCATTCGCTACATATACTGAAACATTGGTAAAGTTTGACATGGTTGATGGTAGACTCACAGCCAAATCAAAAACGGACGTTATGTTTTGTGTCGCTGCTTACTTGTCATTCTACTGACAAAAAGGAAACGAAAATTTGGTGAACCTTCCTCAAGGTCGTTAACTTGCTATCGAGTTAGAGAGTGAAATGATGTTGAACGTATGTGAAGATGAAGAGAAATGGCTGGCCGAAGGGATCGCTAGCGTTCAACATAACGCCTTTTACATGCATCGCGCTTTGGTACTTCCTTTTAATCCTAAATTCTGACAAACCCTAGCTTTCCTTTCCATTAACGATCTATCAAATTCTAATTCCTTATTTGGTTATTGTAATCTCAGGACTCCAACAATCTCAGAGAAGCTCTTAAATATTCAGCTCAGATGCTCTCGGAACTTCGGACTTCCAAACTTTCTCCTCACAAATACTACGAACTCTGTATACTCTTCTCTTGCCATTAAATTAAATCTTGATTTTGATTTGATATGATTTATGTTATAATTCATTGGTTGTAATAATATTTTAAATATTATTATTATTTTGAAGATATGCGAGCTTTCGATGAATTGAGGAAGCTGGAGATGTTTTTCAAAGATGAAAGCAGGCATGGTGTATCAATTGTTGATCTGTATGAGCTTGTTCAACACGCTGGCAATATACTGCCCAGACTGTAAGTCATAATCACTCGAGTCATGTTTCATTTTTTTTTTAAATTATTCCAATAGTTTTAAATATACTCCATTAACGGTTATTTCAGTTTACACGAGTTTGATGTTGTTGATGAACCAGGTATCTCCTGTGTACTGTTGGGTCTGTGTACATTAAATCTAATGAGGCTCCTGCCAAGGATGTCCTAAAAGATCTTGTGGAAATGTGTCGGGGTGTTCAACATCCAATTCGTGGTCTCTTTTTGAGGAGTTACCTTGCTCAAGTCAGCAGAGATAAATTACCTGATATTGGTTCTGAGTATGAAGGGTAAGAAGATTATTTGGTTAAACGTGTTCCCTATTGTTTTGAATGTAAAGTTGATTTCAATCAAGTTAATTTGACTGCTTTAAGGTAACATGTTTGGCTCCATTGTGGAAGTTTGTATTATAATGCTAGTTGCAAGTAGTATATTGGAAACAACTACTGCTAATTCAAACACGGCACTGTCTTTCTGCAGAGATGCTGACACTGTGACGGATGCTGTAGAATTTGTGCTACAGAATTTCACTGAGATGAATAAACTTTGGGTTCGAATGCAGCATCAGGTTTTTTGAACATCTGTAAACTCATACTATGTTAGGACATGCATGGCACCACAGTACTTGCATGCCATAGAAATAGAAATCAATCATGAGAGCATGATTTTTGGCCATGCAGGTGTTATGGTGCTTGTGAATCATTCATACTCTTTGGTGATGCTGAGTTGAGGCCTTCAATTGGGCTTTCTGGTCGCAGGGACCTGGTCGAGTGAGGGAGAAGCGGGAGAAGGAAAGGAGCGAACTTCGTGATCTTGTAATGTCGAGTGAACCTATCATTGGATGAAACAGTGCATGTGTATGGAATTCTTCTGTACTGAAGTTAAACTTCTGTATCTGATTTTTTGTTAGGTAGGGAAAAATCTTCATGTTCTGAGTCAGATTGAAGGTGTGGACCTTGAGATGTACAAAGACAATGTTCTTCCCAGAGTCTTAGAACAGGTTGAGTGATACATTTCTTTTTCACAGCAAGTTATGCTGCTCTAATTTAGAGAAATGTGATATTGTAAAATGCTCTTTTCATATCTTTCTAATATGTATCTGAATTGACTTGGGCAGGTTGTGAACTGTAAAGATGAACTTGCTCAATATTATCTGATGGATTGCATAATCCAGGTCTTCCCTGACGAGTACCACTTGCAGACCCTTGAGACACTGTTGGGTGCTTGCCCTCAGCTTCAGGTATTTTTCATGGCTTACAGTATTTTGGATTAAGAAGAGGGGAGGGGTTGTCTGTAATCATCCTATGCTGCATGTACTAGGTGGGCACCTTGCCAGCCCATGATACTAATGCATTAGGGAATTTCTGATCCCCGATTCCATGAACAAAGTTTTCCGTGTCCTACATTGCCATATGTGCTTTATATGATCACAACAATGTGGAAATTGCACATGATTCATATAACATGCCATATGCTAAAATAGTTTTAATTTCTGATTTGTCCTCAGCCTAGAATGATGGGGATGCAACTCTTGATGAGAATTATACAATTAAATGTTGTTGTGTGTATGTTAAATCATATATACAGAATGGATTCTCCTTTCTCTCTAGTTGGGGTCAATTTGATTAACTAAAGTTCATACTGACCTTTTCTTTTTTATGTTTTTTTTTTATTCTCAGCCAACAGTTGACATCAAGACAGTGCTATCTCGACTAATGGATAGGTTGTCAAATTATGCTGCTTCAAGTACAATGTGAGTATCTATATGCTTTTTTGCATGTTATGCTGTCACAATGTTGGATTATGATTTTCCTTCAGGTGTTACCTGAGTTTCTGCAAGTAGAAGTTTTGCTAAGTTGAGCAATGCCATTGGCAAGGTAAATGGTGTTCCATGTGGTTGCAAATTCACTTTGAAATTCTTGCAAGTGCATTTTTTTTTTTTTTTAATATCATATTGGAGAGGTGTGATTCAATTTTGTGACAATGGCTCACCTTTTTTTGCTTATTCATTTTTTTTGGGTGGGTGAGTGTAGAAACTTGTTGTATGCTCAAGTTGGAGCATGAGTTATTCTTTACGGATCTTTTATAGCAGTGTTTGAATGGCAGGTGATAGAAGCACAGGTTGACATGCTATTCTTGGAGCTGTAACTTGTATGTCTCTCTTCTTACATTTACGCTTCGTGTTCACCTGATCGGCTTGATTATGTTGACCAAGTGGCTGAGTATGTTTCATTTCAAATGTTATAAATGTAGTTGACATAGATTGAATCTATACAATCTCATTTACATAGGGTTTTGTACACATATTCCTGAGGCTTTGATTGTTCTTTATTATGGTAAATGATCTGACAGGGAGCATGTGTTAAGAAGCTATCCAGCATACCAAAGCTTGAAGACAGCAGAGCGACGAAACAACATTTAAGTGCTCCACTGGAAAAATACAATGATATTGTTTCTACATTGACTCTTTCTAATTATCCCAGAGTTATGGACCACCTTGATAATGGAACAAACAAAGTCATGGCAATGGTTATTATTCAGAGCATTATGAAAAATAGCACTTGCATCTCAACTGATGAGAAGGTATACTTCTTCTTTATTTGTTTACTGATATTATGCTGTTTCTGTTTAGAATATGCTTAATATGTTCATTGTTGGTTGAGGTGCTGTTCGAATTAATAAAAGGGCTCATTAAAGACGTTGATGAAACTGCAGAGGATGAGTTGCATATTGAAAGCTTTACTCCATTGGCCACTTTCTTGTAATCTAATGATTTAAATTTTGTATGTTACACCTTGTTATTGGATTTAATATTTGTCGCTTTATGGGGGCACTTATGTCTTTCCCAATAGCTTGACGAGGAGGATTTCAAGGAGGAACATAATTCTGTTGCTTGCCTCATACACATGCTTTATAATGATGACTCGGAGGAAATGTTAAAGGTAAGAGAATGTTTTCTGCATTTGTAACATTTAGTGCTAATGCTAGTATCCATCTTTTGCTTGGAGACATTTGGATTTTTTTAGCTTGTATTTCCTGTGTGGCTTAGTTATTTTTCAGCTATGATAGGTGAAAAATTAATACTCTTGCATTTTATTATGCTACTGTTCAGATTATATGCACTGTGAGGAAACATATCATGACTGGGGGACCAAAACGACTACCATTTACAGTTCCTCCTCCTGTGTTCTCTGCACTTAGGGTAACTTTCTTTCATTACTTGATTGTCACAATACTATTTCATTGTATCTTTAGAAAATCTGAATATGGGATATTCATTTTTGCAAATTATAGGATATTGATTCAGGAGTTAGGACAAGAATAGAATTTGCCATGATGTCATATTTATCGTTATGTTGTGTATCTACTTCTGATGGTAAACTTAAAAAAGACAGACATTTCAGTTGTGGTTAGTATTAATTCTGAATTATCAAACAAGCATCACTAATTAAGGGAAACTTGATGCACTTACTATTACAATAAAATATGTATTTCTCATGACCATTTTTTGTGCCTATGTTGACAATATTTCATTAACAGGGCTTTAGGTTTTTCTGCTGGAACTGTTATCATAGTATGTTCTGTTATCATAGTATGCTTGTGAAGTTGGAGATTTAAACATGTTCTTTTCCTCTTTGTTCTGCATTAAATATTTGAGGTACTTTTGTCTTGATCTTTTCTTGAATTTACAATATATATGTGTTGTCATCTTTGAGAATATACATGGGAATTGAAGATTCTTTTGTAGTAATGGTTTTGTAGGTTGTGAAAATGCAAGAGTACTTTTTAGGTAAAGAACAATTTGGAATAGAAAATGGTATGCATGATGGTTTTTGTTGTTAGAATTTTTTGAATGATTGGAAGGTATTAACTATTGCTCATAGTTAATTTTCCAANAGAAGAAGAACCCGCAACACCAAAAAAAATATTTCAGATCTTGAGTCAGGTTATTGTTTAATAATTTTATATTTTCTGTTGAGAAGTGAAACCAATCTTCAGTGTTCTTAGACCAGTCTGATATTCTACTGTGAATTAAAATCTGTTAAGAACGACATTATTTTTTTTTTCAAATTATTTGGACTTGTCATGATCATACTTTTGGCTTAATTTCAGACTATTGAGGCTCTTTCTTCTGTTCCATCTCCTGAACTGGCATTGAGATTGTACTTGCAATGTGCTGAGGTAAGTTTTTACTGATTGATATCTGCATGGATACTTAGTATGTACTTGAAAGGTGTAGCTTTTTACATCGCGTAACTTTGTGAAGAACAATTTCCAGCATACAGTGTAAGGTTGTGCAAGCCTCAGTACTAGTGTATTATTTATTTGATGACTATGCTATTAGAAAAGAGATTTCAAGTATTTCTGTGGAGTAACTTACTGATTTTAACCTCCAATCATTTTGGTCTATCGACAATCAGGCTGCTGGCGACTGTGATCTTGAGGCTGCTGCCTATGAATTTTTCACTCAGGCATTTATATTATATGAAGAAGAAATTGCGGTAATTGCTCATCGATTAACTTACTGTGATTAAATTATCTTGTAGTTTACCAAAAAAACAAAATGAAAGTCTCTGTAGTTGTCATGATCAATGAACTGTGATGTGGGTCACATTCTGCCCAGGTCAGAATGTTAACATGATCTATGGCCTTGCTTATAGGACTCCAAAGCCCAGGTCACTGCGATACATCTGATAATTGGATCTCTTCAGAGGATGAATGTCTTTGGTGTTGAGAATCGGGACACTCTGACGCACAAGGCTACGGGGGTAAATATTTGGATATAATCTGATTATTGTGCCACTTTTTATCCCAGAATCATTTTAACATGTTATCTTTGGTCAGTATTCAGCAAGGTTATTAAAGAAGCCTGATCAATGTAGAGCAGTTTATGCATGTTCACATCTCTTTTGGGTTGATGATCAAGATGGCCTTAAAGACGGAGAAAGGTGCACAGCCTGATAATTATTATCAAAACTGTTTCATGGTCTGGTTTGAGTTCATGCATCATTTTGTTTGCATATTTTTTATGCATGTAACTTTCTGTAAGTTGGGTGGTGCTGCAAGAAACTGTCCGTCCCCATTTTGGTTTCAATTATTGTCATACTTCAGTCTGTTTCTAATGATATTGGGGTCATGTTTCTTGGTGTTGTAACTTACAGCTTCCGTTGATTGTAAGAGATTATGAAAGAGAACCTGACTGTTATTGTTTCCATGATATAGGGTCCTGCTTTGCCTAAAGCGTGCCTTGAGGATTGCAAATGCTGCTCAACAAATGGCCAATGTTGCACGTGGTAGCAGTGGGCCTGTCATACTCTTTGTTGAAATACTGAACAAGTCAGTAGCTTTGAGTTTTACAAAATTCAATTCGTCATGACATACACCCTTCGCTTTGACATTTATTTTTTGGGTAACTGTTAACCTTTCGATTGACCCAATAAGGACAGTCATACACTCCCCATCCACGTTTTTTGGGTTCAACCCCAACAGAAAGACATACCACTTAAATCGAATGGCGTGGTTTTTGGCTTGAAAGTTCTAATAAAGTGGCTGATAATGTTTCAGGTATCTGTACTTTTTCGAGAAAGGAAATTCACAGATCACAAGTGCAGCAATCCAAAGCCTGGTTGAATTGATCCGTACTGAAATGCAAAGTGACTCAACTCCAGATCCAGCTGCAAATGCTTTCTTTTCCAGTACATTGCGGTATATTGAATTCCAGAAGCATAAAGGTGGTATAATGGGTGAGAAATATGATTCCATCAAGGTGTGATTGACTAGAACATGCTAAAGCTGATCTCAACAAAGTAAATCCGAACTCCCTAAAATGCTTTCTTGATTCTTCTGTTAAATGTTTCCATTGTCACTGTTGCTTTCAGGACTATATAACTTAAAAACAAATGAAACTAAAACGTGACAACTTTTTAATTCTGCAACTTGATCCATGTAAAACCTTTTCTTTGGTGCTACATCATGGTGTTTGCTCTCTACCAAGGATGGGATAAAGTACTTTAAATTTCTTTCTTTTTTCATATTGACAAAGGGTTTAAAGTTTGTAAATGTGTGGACACATATTCATAATCAGCTTTATTGCGATGATGTTTCAGGACCTCGTGTACGTGTATAGTCTCAGTGGGATTTTGTATTGATCTTTTAACTGCCTTGATCTGCGCTATCGTCTCATTGACTTTGGATTGTGTAAGGCATTTTTAGGATCAGTGATACATGTTCTGATTGATAAGGCTGGCAATGACATAGATATTGTTACATTAGAGCAGTGGTTATAGCATGTGCTGTGATTAATTTCGATTATAGAAATCATACTCGTATCCCGACGTCTCGATTCATCATACCTGTTTATTATATCCTGAAGAGAGTTGAAGATTATAATTTTCTTGTGAGACTAATAGAAATGAACCTGCAAATGTGTTGTATAATTGACAGCAGATTATTCTTTCTCTCTTCTTCTTCCTTCTTTGTTGATTGTATTTTGTAAATTTAATGAAAACATTTAATTGCTGTATTTATCTCAGTAAAGGTTTATTGTGTTTGATAGTTCCATATGGTTTATTGGTTTTTGGTTTTATGGCAAGAGCATTTGCAGCAAGCATAGTATATACTAAGTTGGATTAAATTTATTTCTAAAATTTGGTTTGTCTGATTCTTAGCGTGCTATATGATTTGTTAATACAACGCAGGAATGAATTTCATATAAATATCTGTATTATTGGTTAATACCGCACGTATAGCTTAGGAATTCGTTGTTCAAATGCCAATTTGTATTGATCTTTTAGCTGCTTATTGACGAAGCATATTTATGAATTCAATAATTCAAATTCACGTCTTAAAGTTGCCAACTTTAGCGCATACGTGGTCATTATTATTAATTGTTTTTCCCAAGACATTTTCAGCCATAATAAATCACATTCAGAAGTTGGTAGTTTGTCCAATCAATTGACCTGTCGAAGGATAAGGATAGCAAGTTTGTGGCCGCCCCAATCCAACACTTCCATGATTAACATTCTGGCTTCAGGCGACCTAATATAAGGGGTCTTCTTCAAGGAGTTAAGCAAAAGAAGTACCAATTTCAACCTTCATTAATTAACTGTTACATAACAATACCTTTCAGAGAAAGTTTCCAGTACGTAAATTCCTTAAGAAATTTGCTTGTGAGGTCAACCTATTCATTAAGATCAGATAATTTAATTCTGTGACCAATAAGGCTTAGGAGTTAAGTTAACTATTAAAAGATGTAAACTCCAGCATTTGACTTGAGAAATCAGAACTATCCAGTTGAAATATTACACATCAAATTAAAAATGAAATGCGTCTTCTTCTTAGGTTTAAACCTCGTTTAATTGTAGTCACATTAGGTGTACTTATAATGTTGGCGGCTGTTCCTTAAACCCTTTATTTTAAGTTACGTTTGGTGGGTTAGATTGAAGCAAGAATAAACAATGGTCAAATATTCAAAACAATGAACATTCGTGTCTTTTCTTCTTTCTTTATCTTTGCATATTCAACTCATTTTAGTCGCTATAATTGAATATTTTCGTATGGTCAATTTTTAAATTTTTTAATCAACCATAGATTTTTCTGTGGATTAATTTTATATGTTCGAAACTTGTCTCTTCTACTTGGAGTTTGTCTTGCGGGGCAATGGTTAAATTCGTAATCGTCTAATGGAGGTATGAATGGAGAAGTAATTGAGAGCTCTAGTTGTTAAAGCATTCTTTATGATCAATTTATTTGACCAACATAAGACTATCTGCAAATCCACAAATTCGAAGAGGTACTTTGAAACTTAGAGATAATTTGAAACCAGGTAGCGTGATTCTAAGGGAAAGTAATGATTAAGAAGAGAATATCAGTAAAGAAGTGCAACAAGAAGAAGCAAGTGCTTTATAAAATTCTAAAAGGGAATCATGGTGCAGAATTTCCCAGCTTGGAACTAGTTGAAGTTGGAAAAATAAGAAATCATTTAGTCTCTGTTCACGTTTGTTCAGGCTCAGGTATGACTAGAATCCTATGCATATAATTAGTTTTAAGAAAGTTTTAAACTCTCATTCAATTTTTTTCCTTTTTCAGATTCTGCTTGGGTGGAGAATTCGGCTATAAAATATCATTCAGAAGTTTGCAGGGACTTTTCGATAATGAAAAAGGTTTGTTTCTGTCACCAATTTTTCATTCTGTTTGTCTACTGTAAATGAATGTGAAATTCTAATATTTTAAGTTCAGCTTACTCTTAAAGGTTCAACAATATCACGAGGGAGTTTAATCAAAAAAGTTTTAAAGAACTTGCCCAAACATTGTGCATCCACGGCAGTGATTGTGGGAACAGACCAGGAACACTCTCTCGGGTAAGTTCAGATAGAAGAACTCAACTTTTTAAGTGACGTCGTTTGAGGAGATTCCTCTCTAATTGGTTACAGAAAATCTTTCAGGAGTTCCATTGCCAGATGTTTCGCCAACAAATTACCGGCAACTACGGCCGTTTTTGTTTTGCAACTAAAAGGTTTTAGCTTTTAATAATTGCTATATGGAAACAAAAAAAAAAATTCTTTCAATTTTCTTATGAAAAGGTTTTTAAAATCTATTAAATTTTCAGGTTTCAGGTTAAATTCAAGGCCTGAGTTTTATCACAAGAAGGAAAATACGAGTTTAAGAGATGCAGAGGAACAGGTGTTTGAAAATACAGAATCCAATCAAATTCTGACCTCTGAAAACGTATCAAGATACTGTAGTGAGGAGTTTCATGATCAAAATTTTAATCTTGACCATGATTACATGGAGAAATTTGCTTTGACGTCAACTTCTCTTATACAAAAAGAGCAGCCAGATTTAATTCTGGGATGGCCTCTGCTTCGAAGAACCTGGCCTCCAACTAATGAAATTTTGAATGCAGTCGGGGATGGAAATATTTCTGAGGTTGAATGGGCTACGAGTCTATGCAGTCGATGTACTTCAGTTGTGCATGAGAATGATTTTAGTAATTTGGATGGGAATAAAACCAAAATTGATCTTAATAGAGAAATGAATAACGTTCTTGTTGAGGATGGCGAGACTGAAGGAAACATTCCACTTGGTATTAAGAATGTTGAAGATGATTCAACTGATGGCAGCAGGAGGTCAAGAGATGAGACATGTAGCCTTGTTCCTGGACACATTGTGGAGCCTTCTTCAAGTTCAGTTTCTTTACTTGTAACACATTTATCACAATCAAAACTCGGCTGGCCTCTTCTTCGAATATCAGCTCCTGTGACCTTAAACTCTTCAAAACAATCTGAAGATACTACACCAGCAAGTCCACAATACCAGACAAGTTTGGTTTCCTCTAATAGCGAAAATTCTTTTGAAAGGGAGATTATTTGTTCCAAGAATAAAGGTGATGAAAATCCTTTAACAACGTCAATGAAGCTGCCCAACGAGTCAGAGCTTTTCTCTGAATTAGTCTCATCCAATTGCAAGGAGTTCAGCATCGCTGAACTTAAAAAGGCAACTCGTCAATTCTCCTCAGGTTCTATAATCTTTCTTTTTAACTAATAATTTTAGTAAGGGCATAAAGGCACAAGCTATTAATCACTTTGACCAAGTTTTCTTTACATGATATTGATTTTTTTTTTTTGGTAATAGATAACTTGATTGGAGAGGGAGGGTGTAGCAATGTGTACAAAGGTTGTCTCTCAAGTGGCAAGCCGGTGGCAGTGAAAGTTCTAAAATCTTACAAGGAAGCTTGGGACGACTTCTCTTTGGAAGTAGACATCATCTCTTTATTAAAGCACCAAAATATAACACCTCTTATTGGTGTATGCACCGAGGACAACAATCTTATGTTGGTCTATGACTTCTTGCCCAAAGGGAGTTTGGAAGAAAGCCTTCATGGTAATCTTCTGCAGCCTTTTTGCAAGGTTTGCTTCTATATATAAGTTTGTTGCAATCCTAATGAATAATAATATATAACTCAGGTAATAATGAGAAATTTGTGCTGGCATGGGAGGTGAGGTTCAAAGTGGCTGTTGCAATTGCTGAGGCTCTAAATTACCTGCACAAGGAATGTTTGCATCCTGTTATTCACAGGGATGTAAAATCTTCTAACATCCTTCTCTCCAACGATTTTCAGCCACAGGTACCATGTTAAAAAAAAACAACTTAATAGGCCAATCGGCTACTCTTAATTAAGAATGAAACCTTGTATCTTTTCAGCCAAAGTTTTCCCCTTCTTTTTTTTTTTTTTTTATATGCAATTCCCAGAAAACCCTGTGTTTTTATCATAATATATAACGATCAATCACAAAAGCTCTTAGGAATTCTTTAGTAGATGCCATCATAATATTTGTATGACCAAAAGGTTTTTCCATAAGATTCATAGTGCTGATGCTCTACAAAATTCATATTACAGTTATCCGATTTCGGGCTTGCTGTATGGGGACCAACAGATTCAAATTACATGATACACAACGATGTGGTGGGGACTTTTGGATATATTGCTCCAGAATATTTCATGCACGGAAGAATCAGCGATAAAGTTGATGTGTATTCGTTTGGCGTTGTTCTTCTTGAACTGTTATCTGGAAGAAGACCAATTGGTTCCAAGAATCTCAAAGGACAAGAAAGTCTGGTCAAGTGGGTAAGAAAATTTCTTTTATCAACATTAAAAGTTCTCTCTTTACTGACCAAGAACTCTGCAATTATGAAGGCCTTTGATGCAAAACCAAACTTTGTTATAATACAGGCGAAACCAATATTAGAAAGTGGGGATGTAGAAGCATTAATGGATCCAAATTTAGATGATGACTTTGACATTGCTCAAATGCAAAGATTGGCTCTTGTGGCAAACCTCTGCATTAATCAATCTGCTCAACTTCGTCCAAAAGCGAGTCAGGTACTAGTATGTGATCTTGCAATTGTTATTCCCTGAATGATGAGACTAAATGACTAGGATCTTGAATGATCCTACGCCACTCGTATGAGAACATGTCATTGATTCAGTTATATTGGCATTCAAGTTATAGCTGATAAGAGATCTTTAATTTTGGTGTCGTTCTAGATTCTGGAACTGTTAAGAGGGCAGCAGGATGCAAAGGAGTGGCTTAACTCACAGGTTGATGAAACGCAGGAGGATGATGAACTTCTTCTAGAATTTGGGGGGAAGCCTCATTTGGATTTCTCATATTTAGTCACGGATGATGCCGCATCACTAAGTAGTGTCGATGCTACATTACTTGGTAGTACAAAACAACAACGACGTTTCAAGTTTGACTGATTACTTGGAAGAACCGCAAGACTGAGCCAACAGCAAACAACTCCGCATGGACATATCAACAAGCAGAATACACTAACCAACACATGAATTTAGGCCAAAACGTTTTGTTCTTTTTACTTTTGACATCTTTTCGGTAGCTGAACAATTATTTTTCTACTGTAAATCAGTGAATAAGACAAATTCAATTTGTAATATAATTGCAATGCAAGTATGCAACGTGCTAATTTCAATCAAATAGCCGCCCACCAAAACCAACATAATAACCCACATGGTCAGAACCGCAACTCAAGAGAACAAAAATTTCTTGTAATATATAAGAAAAAAATATGTAATATTAGATTTCGTCAATTTTTGATAGAAAAATCGACTGTACATTTTAGCCCAAACACTCAATGTCAAAATCACTGGGCTACGTGTTTCAGTTAGTTATCTGTTCTAAACATTAAAATGGAATTGTGTAAGGTAATGCATACATGTCTTCCCCTTGAAAGTATTGGGAAGACGGCCACAAAGTTTGACAACATGAAGCATCATCACCAGCCTTCAATCTTTTAGATCCGCTTCCTTGCTGCTTTGCCTTTGCCCCAAAAAGCCATTCTAGATCCTCACCATCATCCGGCTGAAGTGGTAGTGGAATCCACTCCCCCATCAACGCGTTAAAACAATTTGATTCTTTATTATAATTTCCATGCTTTGTGGCCCCGGCTTCAGTCTGGATATCATAGGGAGTAATGTTTTCCTTCCTCATTGAATCTGATATAGCACTGACTTCCCCCTTGGTATTATTTGTTCTGAGACATTGTCGGCCAACAATTACATTGTGCTCAGCATTGGACTCGGGTCCTCTACCAGATGTAGAGCATGATTGTTCCTCACTTCGTGATGCATCAGCTTCTCTCTGCTTTTGTGACGGCAGCTTAATCCGTAGGATATTCCCTATCGATGATCATAAGGATGATCATAATATTTCAAGAGGTTTATATATGAATTCCTGCATAACAAATAAATAAGAAACTCACTGTTAACTGTAATGCCACTAGATGGTGGGGAGTCCCTTTTCCTCTTGTTGCTGCTCTGAGTGCCATCAGACAAGTAGCAAAGGTTCTGCCTGCAGACAGGCTCATCATGCTCATCAGTAAGACCAGACTTCTCCAAACGCTCAGTTTCTTCATCTTCACTTCCTTTTACAAGGCAACCTCCACCCCATGACAACTTTTCTTTACTGAGCTTTTCAGCTTCTCTGTAAAGTTTCTCCTTCTCACTCTCTTTTCTCTCCTTCCTTTTCTCTTTCTTCTCCCTCTTCTTTTCTTTCCTGAAGTCCGTTTTGGGCTTCTCTTTTTCGCTTCGAAGCTTTGATGCACCAGAATAACATTTTAGAACAAAGGGCTAGGGTAGACAAGTAGAATGTAACACACTACAGTAACAATGTGCCAATCTTCCAAGATAACTGATAAAGACGGCATATTCATCTTATAGACGAGAACAGTCCAATAACTATAATGTTTATAACATGTCCAAAACTTTAGTGGCTTCCGAAAAGCAAGAGCCCAAAGTTTATAAAACAAAATCTTAGTCCAGATTTAATTAGTTTTAAACCAGATTTAGTAAGGAATCTTTCGAAAATATTTGATTTGCACAATACAAACATCAACTAATTCAATAGAAGTTGATTTTCAGAGTCAAAAAAGAATAACTCTTAACCATAACCAGCCAAACAAAAACTGTTCATAGATCAACCACCCCATCGTCTAAAATATTAGGGCAATCCATTCAATTAACAAGCTAATCAAATCACAGCGTTCAAAACGACCTAATAAACATAACCCTAAAATACATACTGATTCAGGTATCCTTAATTAAATATAAGCATCCAATCATAACCGGGACATGTTGAATAGCATAAACCATAATTACAATCACAGTAATCCTAGAAAAAAATTAAATACAAAATATTATTTACGAGATACATAGTTGAGCAATAAAGTGAAAACCAGAATTGCTCAACCAACCTTAATCGTTTGAATCAAGGCCTCTCCACTGGCCCCGTTCCTTACAGACACCAAATCCCGGTATGGAAAGCACCTTGACATCTTACCGTACTAAGTTAGGAGGAGATCTTTAAAATAGGGTTAGGGTTCTGTTGCAAGACTGAAACCCTAGATACAGAACTTCTGACGCGTCGAGAAATTAAAATAGCAGACAAGCGAGTGGCTTGTTTAAAGGGAGGGAGGGGTATTTATAGAGCGCAAATTGAGATCCAAACCTAACTTTTTAAGTCGGTGATGTTAAATTGTTACGTATTACAGCTGTTTTCATATTTGGATACGGCGCAGGCCCAGGGCCAGGCCCAGGCCCGAAGCAAAACAAACCTAAATTACATTGCATTAACATATAATTAAGTTGTGGTTTAGTAGTATTTGTGGCAGTAGTGGATGAATCGTGGAATTGTCAAAACCCTAAACCCTGGTCAATTTGTAAACCGCTAACCAAAGACTGACTATTTAAATTCTCTTCTTTCAACTCTAGAAAGGAGTAGCGAAGTTAACAACAGATTGGTTTATACGCAGAATCATACAACCTTCTAGAGTCACGATGAGGAGAGTTAAGGGACTGGCCTCACTTAACCGAGCGGCCCGAGCCATTGCAAGCGACGCCACTTCGTCCACTCAACATAGGTTGCCTCACGCCGCTCCCTTTACCACATTCTCATCTTCCACCTCTCAAAGTTTCGCCCAAAAGATCGCCGATCGGTTTGGAAAATCAAGTCCCTCTGTAGCTGGAGCTGTCGCGGGGTTCTCCGTCGCTGCCTCATCTCTGGGTCAAGACGTTCACGCCAAGGAGCCGCCACGCTCTCAGAACTTCCTCCCGAAAGATGTTGTTCTTTATCAATATGAAGCTTGCCCTTTCTGCAACAAAGTTAAAGGTATCATTTTTTTAAGTGTAACCGAATTATATCATTTGTTATGAAAAATTATTGATTGATTTTTTTTTTTTTTTTTTTTAAATTCAGCATTCTTGGATTACCATAGAATTCCGTACAAAGTGGTGGAGGTTAATCCCATAAACAAAAAAGAGATCAAGTGGTCTGATTATAAGAAGGTGCCCATACTGACCGTTGATGGTGAACAGATGGTTGATTCTTCAGGTCTTTTTTTATGTTCTTTTCATTGGAGTTTTGATGGCCGTGCTGTTTGGTTGTTGAAGACTTTAAATTCCTGTGCATGCATCAATAATGCGTAATTTTGTGTTCAATATTCAGATATAATTGATAAGTTGTTCCAAAGGATTCATCCCGATAACTCTGCTCCTGAAAGTGATGAAGAGAAGGAGTGGCGACGGTATGACTCTGCTTTTCTTGCTCAGCTCTTAAGCTTGTGAAATTATTTTGGTTGATTCCCTTATTGCATTCTTTATTAATAATCCCATGATCTATTAGTTATTGGTGCAAAATTAGTACTTGGTCGAATTTTTTGTTGCCGATATTCAGAGTACTTTAGAATTATGCTTATATCACTACTCTATATCATGTTCTTGACGTATGAATTGATATTGTATCTACCTTTAATATAGGTGGGTCGATAATCACTTGGTGCACGTTTTATCACCAAACATTTATCGAACCACTTCTGAGGCTCTTGAGTCCTTTGACTACATCACCACTCATGGTAAGGCAACAAATTAATTTAACTGCAACCTCTAATTTAACTAATGAGGCTTTTACATCATAGATTTTATTGGAGCAGCTGATAGTTCTTTTTAGTTTTTTCTTTTTTGTTGTCATATTATTACCTCAGAATTGTTTTTTTATTACTTTTGATGCTCTGTAATTATTTTCAAGATAGGTGAGTTCATGAATATCTGTTTAGTACTTGTTTAATGGAGCTTAATATGGGCAGCTGATGGAGAAATTTGCTATTAAATTGATAGTGCAGAACACAGATATCCCTAGTTTTATTTAATAAATTTCATCTTAAATGATAATTGATATATAACCATTTTAGTTATGTAAAATTGAGTGTCTTCTCCAATATCATGCTTCTATGTTTTGGTCTAACCGCTTCTGGGTCTAAAATATTGTTTTGAGTTTTTTGTAATTGTGATCAAGAGGCTCCTTTCTGCCTGGATTATTTTGCAATAGGAGTACTATTGTATTTTTTAAATTCTGTCACTTGAATTCATTGGTTGGCAAATTAGGCACCAAGAATGAAAAGATAAATCTCACTCTTTCATACAGTAAACAGAGTTTGACTCATTGTTATTTTATTCTTCCGCGATTACTTCCTTGACTAAGCTGAAAAAGAATTGTGCGTTAGCCATGATCTTGGTTGTATACTACTTGGTAAGCATTGAAAGCTAACTGACTTATTTTTGCTCCATCCTCTTCATAATTTAGGCAATTTTAGCTTTACTGAGAGGTTAGTGGCCAAGTATGCTGGAGCAACTGCTATGTATTTTGTATCAAAGAAACTGAAGAAGAAACACAATATCACTGATCCGCGTGCCTCATTGTATGAAGCAGCCGAAACATGGGTGGATGCCTTAAAGGGCCGGCAATATCTTGGTCTGTTAAATTAATAGTATGTCCTTTTATATTAGAAATATTGGCAATTATCAGGACCATTAACATTGTAAATGATTGCTGTATGTTACTTAAACAGGTGGCTCAGAACCAAATTTAGCCGACCTTGCAGTTTTTGGTGTTCTGCGGCCAATTCGGCACCTTCAATCTGGCAGAGATATGGTGGAACATACTCGCATTGGTGAATGGTACTCTCGGATGGAAACCAGTGTGGGAGACTCCTCAAGAATTCCGGAGTAAGAGAGATGATTTTGCCCCTTGGTCCTAAGTTGGAATATATGATTAAGTTGAATGTGCTACTAACAGATAAACCACTAAAAGAGAAGAAATAAGAGTTGAATAATTATTTTGCTGTTGATTGCAGAAACTAAATACTATTGATTGGAATATGAACAAGTTGAATGCATCCGAATCTTTTGGGTCTGTTTGGTTCATTATTCTGATACTTTTTAGAATAATATTTTGAAAAAAAATTAAATTTGATGAGTATTCAATGTAGGATTTGAAAATTAATAAAATTATCTTTTATATTTGTTTATTTATTAAATATTTTTATAATAAAATATTAAAAGTTAACAAAAACACTTTTAACTCAATCATTAAATACGAACAGTTGATCATTGGAGGGTTGTTGGGGTGTTTTTATAATATCTAAAAAAAATATTTAGGGGTGTTTTTATAATTTTTTTAAAAATAATTTAAAAATATTTAGTTAAATTAATAAATTTAAAGATGTTTAAAAGAAATTGAATAATATAGAGTAATATTTGGAGGATGGGTTTATATTATTGTTTTCTTGCTCTTTGCCCGAGAGGTTAATTTTGACCATACGTATTTACTCCGTGCACTGTTATTTTGTAATTGTACCTGTAATTGTTCTGAGTACTGTGTCTCGTATGGTCCATTGTGATGCAGATGTTTGCCTGTAACAATTTCTTTTTTTTTTTTGGGTAGCTTTTACCTAGGCTGAATGACATTTTTCCACCCTAAGTTTCGTGCATTTTATTCCACTCCTGTAACTTTGAAAAAAAAAAAACATTTTCCCACCATCTGTAAAATTCAGACCTTAGTTTTAACGGTAGAAGGGTATTCTCATTAATTTGCACAATATATATATATTATAGGGTTAATATCATTTACACCCCAAAAATATAAATGGATCACCATTGTCTTTATCAACTTGGGAATTAGTCATTAAAATTCCTATGATCAAATTTTACTACTAAAATAGAGGTTTGACTGGATTGACTAGTGAAATCACATGTCTGTCCATAGATTTTTACGCTTTGACTATTTTGCTCCTGTACTTTCACTTAAAGTATTTGTGTTTTTCATAAAAAAAAAAAAGTGCAAAAACTTTCCATTTGTAATTATATTTGTAAATTAAAAATTAAAAAACTGCAAAACAAGTTTTCATTAAACTTGTAATTTCTGCAAAATATCTATTTCATGGAATTACATAAAAATATAATTTTTGAAAAAGAGAAGAAAACTGAAAAAGAAAACAAAAACCTCCACAAATAAAAAAATATAAAATTTTGAAAAAAACAAAATTCAAAAACTAAAATGGTGTAATTTCGGCCATCATCCACCTGCATTGGTGCGGTTTAGTCATTCGCAGTTGAATCGCACTAGGCCAGATGCAATTTGGTCGGAATAGCACTTGGATGGGTGCGGTTCAATCACTGGCAGCAAAGGTTGCCGCTCACTTTTTTTTGTAATTTTTTTTTTTTCTTAATTACTGATTTTTTTTCTATTTTTTATTTATTTATTAACCCTAAAATTAATGTAAATCAAACTAAGGGTGAAAATACATTTAATAAAGTTTGGAGGGAATGTTATTCAGACTCATAAAAATTTTCAAAATCAAATAATAAAGGATATTTAGTCTTATCTAGGGGTGTTCAAAAAAATGAAAAAACCGAACCGAACCGCTAACCAAACCGGTAACCGAACCGAAAAACCGGTTAACCGAAAAAACGGTTCGGTTACGGTTCGAAAAATTAAAAAAACCGAATTTTCGGTTCGGTTACCGGTTCGGGCAAATTGGAAACGGTTAACCGAAAACCGTTTTCTAAACTGGTTTTTCAAATATATATATATATATATATATATATAATTATAAATAAATAATAACCTAAACTAAAATATCCCTAATTCACTCAATCTAAAATCCCAACCCAAATTTTTTTTCTTAGTTTTCAATGTATTGTCTATATTTACAATTTAATTTAGGACAAAATTAAAAAAAAAAAGTTTTATAAAAAAGGGAAAACCGGTTCAAAACCGGTTAACCCACTTTTTTTAAAACGGTTAACCGTTTTTTCGGTTAACCAAAAAACCTGTTCGGTTTCGGTTCGGGAATTTTTTCGAACCGAAAATCCGGTTCTGTTTAGAAAGCGGTTAACCGGTTCGGTTAACCGTTTTGAACACCCCTAGTTTTATCCCTATCATATAATTTAGTGACAGAGATTGACTATGGGTGGGAAAGTGTTTTTTTCAAAGATTGGGGGTGGGGAAGATAGCAGCTAAACTTCGGGTGGGAAAAGTATTTTGCCCAAGCTTTGGTCAAATCTTGAGTGAGTCATTAGAGAAGAGAGCAATAGGCGTCGGCAAAATTTCTGTTTATTCTTCCCGAGACAGACTGTGATCTGGATGTAATTATGGATGTTCTTTAAGAAAGCTGTGTTTGTGTGCCGGAGTAAAAGAGACTTTGGGAATCAAAGATTTGAAAGCATTAGAAATGACTATTTTTTGAAATGATGGAGATACCAAAGATCTATACACGCACAAAAATACAAAATTCAAATAAAGTTGGAAGTCAGATCTGGTGCATTTATATAGTATTACTTTTAACCCTCGAGTTTCCGCCCTTTTCAACCCGTATGTATGTGGGTAGCCACCCACGCCTCCGGAAATATAACAATTATATCTACCACATAATGATATAAAACTATAAATATAAACCTGAAGAAAGTTGCGCGGTGAAAAGATGATTATGTTATGTTGATTGTCTTTTGTACCCTCCAAAAAAGAAGATTCTTAATTGGCTGATTTGTTGATTTCTCTCTGGTTGCCGTACTGAACAGAAATGGCGTTACTGCGATGGCAGTAATGGCCACACTGGTTTAACCGGCGTTTCTGGTTGGGGTTAATGATCCTCCTCTCTACAGTTTTCACAGCTGTACAAGTATTATCTCTTCTTGGTAACCGATATTGAAACCCGTTGTGTAAGTGTGACACCCCATTCTACGGTTAAAACGTTGCTTCCTTCTCAGTCTTTTTAACTAAAGTTTTATTATTAATCAATAATCCTATTTAAAGATTTTGTTCTTTACACGTTATGTAGGAATGTAGGTCCCATTAAGCATTAGCAGGAGGCCACCAAGTGTAACCTGGCTTGCATGTAGACGCTACATGGCAGGCTATTTGTATTGGGTGTACGGTTGAAAATGGGACATAGCTTTTGTAGACGTATGATGAAAAACTCAAAAGTCTAAGTCTAAGCTGATTGATGATCAACGTGCCTGATGGGTGGGGTGCGTTGTTTGATTTAGATTTGAGGTGACAGTAGTTGGGCCCAAGGTGAAACGTGGTTTGCGCATAGATGAAGAAGTCCTTGCCACGGGGGCAACTTGACGATGCAATCACAAAATCTAATCTAAAGGCTTTAAGTAACTCCACGTGGCATGAAAGGGAGACCCGTATGGATAGCGTAAAAAAAAAAAAAACAGAAATAGAAATAAAAAATAGCTATTCTTCAGCCTTTCCCAATGACGAAACTGACAATTTCTCCAATCTCTGATTCTCCCACTTGTATATAACGTCTTGACTCATTCACGTCTTAATTGAGTGAATTTCTCTCATAAATTAACACATTTCTCTCACTAACTTTGTATGTGAAGGAGCAACTCTGACCCGATACTTCTGTGACTTGCTGTCACAAAATCTGCGTGTGTACGTCGTCGTTTACCGCCACCCTTGTATCTCTCTCATAAATGCTATTTTGTTGGTTTTGAAGCTTGTTGTTGGGATTTGACAAAAGTAAGAGAGAGATACGTCCTCCTATCCTCCTACCCTCTCTCTCTCTCTCTCTCTTTCTGTCTTTTGTTTTGCAAATTTAGTTCCTTAATTACCTCAAACAAATTATATCCATAAAATCCATATTTAATTCATTTACATAATTACATTTATAAAAAAGATTGTCAGTTTCTCAACTATATATATATATAAAACTACCTGCTAGCTTCTTTCAGTTAAGCCAGAATCCAAAACCACAAAGAAGGTAAAGGTTACGCCAATTAAGTGAGTAAAGACAAAAGAGAGAGAGAGAAATTGGGTCATGCATCTTCTCTGATATAACAATAACATGAATCCTTCTAGCTTTAAACCTACCAATTTTATGTCCGTTCTTTTCTTGCTTTTTCTTATTAATAGTTGATGAAATATGTGAATACAAGCGGTCGTTTCGTTTTGGCGTTTGTTAATGCTTTGTTCTCAGTCTCTGGCGCAAGTTATTATGGCTGTTCAAGCACAGTTGTATCCTGAAAATTTGGGTTTACCCATGTGTGGCTTACAAGATTGGATGCCAAATCCTGTTCCTGCTTTTGATTCTGATTTTTCTTTCACTCTTCATCATCAAGAACCTCAACACCCTCGTTTTTCTCATCTACAACAAACTTCTCAGAACTTGACTTTTGATTGCAATAGAGGAGCTTCTTCTTCATCTACTTGTGGCAGGAATATTTTTTCAATGGCACTTTCTCAATCTTTAGATGCTCAGCTTGAGTTGCAAAGGCAAGAGATTGACTGCATTCTTCAAATGCAGGTAGGCTTTTATTATATTCCAAATGGGATTTCTTTTCTTTTCTTTTCTTGTATATGTTATCTGTTGATGTTGTATTTGTTTTAGATGTAAAATCTTTTCATTTTAGTATTTTATAGATTAACTTTTTTTTTTTTTTTTTTCTTTTGTTGGGGAAACCAGAATGATAGATTAAGATCTGCTTTGCAAGAACAAAGAAAGCAACAACTGGTAATCTTGCTAAAGAACATGGAATCAAAAGCTGTGAATTTGATGAGGCAAAAAGAGGAAGCCTTGGCACAAGCAAGAATGAAGAGAATGGAGCTTGAAGTTTGTTTGAGAAAAGCAGAGATGGAAAGTGAGTCATGGCAAAGAGTGGCAAAAGAAAATGAGGCAATGGTGATGGATCTAAGCAACACACTTGAACAGGTGAGAGAGAGAATGGTGTTGGTCAGCAACAGAGCGGATGATGCAGAGTCCTTTTGTTGTGGTTCATGTGATGGAGAAGAGGAAGAAGAAGCGAAAGTAGAGAACAGAAAGATTGCTTGTAAAAGATGCAATTCTAGGAAATCGTGCATTCTTTTTCTACCTTGCAGGCACCTTTGTTCGTGCAAGCTTTGTGAAGCTTTTCTTGATTCTTGTCCGGTATGTAAATCTGCAAAGGAGACAAGCATGGAGGTCTTTTGGTTCTAACTTCTAACAAAAAGAAAAAGAGCTACATTGCAAAGAAATGGAAGGAGACGAAATTCCTTTTTTCTTCTCTTATTTTTTTTGGGGGAAGCACATCTGCTGATACATGTACTGTGACTGTCATAATCTTTTTTTTTTGTTTTTTTTGTTTTTTTTTTGGTGGATGGTAGGTAATTTTCTTTGCTTTTTTAGGGTTTTTTTTTTTTTTTTTTTGGGAATACAAGAATTGAAATGATGATTAGTATCAGTATTCAGTACTATAGTAAGAATCTTCTCCTTTTCCTTTCTGGGTAATATGCAGTTTCCTCAATTAGATTTATATAATAGAACATTTTTTTTTTATCTAGTGAGTGATTGATTCGGCTCTTCTGGTTAAAAAACAGAGAAAAATTGCCAGCTCTTTTAAGCCGTAAAAGCATACTCGGTGAACTGACAAAAAAAAAAATATGTTAAAATTGAATCTAGAGAGATATATCAGGAAACGGGAATATGATACCGTCACCGCCATTATCTTTCTGCAATCTGCATCACTTCCTCCAATGAATTGAGTTAATTGATGCTATTAACTGACCCCTTTGATAATTTCATCATCTAAGGCGAGGCGAGGGTTTTGTTTCTCTCCCTTTGAATGAGACTGCATGTGAAAGTTAAACCAAAAACCTGCAAATTACTGTGTTTTGTTGCTTTGCATGGTGTGGTAGTAGTAGAGAAAGAATTGAACATGATGATGGTCCCATGTTGAGTGTCACGTGGGATCCACAGTGTGGATCTTAATGGTCCCACGTAATAAGAACCGTTTCCGAGGATTGTAAACAAATGGGTTGTTTTTTGTCTCAGATTATTTGGCAGACATACAAAGAAACACAGACCAAAAAGGTTTCCAAACCTCCCAATTCTATATATTCAGTACACGTGGAAGGTTGCGCTACTTCATCCACGTGCTATGATCGACGGATGGTGTTGTTCCCATTTGGCGCTCGGACCGACTGCTTGTAACCAGTAGCTGACTCTTCCTTTGTGAAACCCAAATTTGGACAATTTCTTAGTTAGACTTAGACCCATGATCTTGTTGGACCATTTCTTGAATTGGGCTTAACCCATTTTGTCTTTGAGCCCAAGCTCTATGAATATTCCTAATATATTCAGGGAAGGTCTAACGTACTGGTACAGGACCCGTGCAGGAAAGTAATGATCTATTATCATGCGGTAAGGAAAGATTTATATGGAGCCCCATGGGTCCAGATAAAGCCAGATCACCGCCGAATTATATGCCAAGTGGTGTACCATAATTTCCTTTAAGAAAGATATCATACAAAAGTCTCCCAAAATATTCCACCAATCCCTTCTTGCCTCCCGGAGTACTCTTTGGTTCATCTTGGAAGCGTCCAATAGAAAGCTCAAGAAGAAGACAAGCTCTTCCTTCTCTCTTCATCAACATAATCATAATCATCTTGCAGAGAAAAAGGCTTCATTTTCCGCTATGCAACAAGGAGATTACAGTTCCTATTATCACCAATATCCTCACCTTCAAAACCCTAACCCTAATCCCAATATCAATAACATGGCCGATCTTCATCCGACCTCTTACGCATCAGCGCCTCCGTTTACAACAAGTTACTCTCCCTCCGATTATTCTGCTTATTCTCAAAATTACCCTCCTTATTCTCAAAATCATGATCCTGCACCTCCCACGGCTCCTTCCTACGCAACAACTCCACCGACTGTAACAACTCCAACACCCTCACCACCACCACCAAACCCTAATTCACTTTCTACATTCAATCCCATCCCTTCCCAACAACCACCTCAATTCCCTCCCTACGATTCTCATGTTCCGTACCAACCGACACCGGCCACCCAGCAACAGCAACCACAACCACCGGCTGCGTATTACCCCCCATTTGATCAGCATCAGACGGCTCCTAGTTATGCCCCGCAAAATACTAATCTCAATTCATCTTACTCCTCGACGTACTCCGCACCCTTCAGCAACGTGGGATCATCGGTTCCATCAGTGTATGAGAACCCGTACGAGAATTCAAATTCGATGAAATTCGATTCCGCTGGTGGATACTTGGACGATAAATATGGGGGTTACAACCGAGGCCGTTCCGATTTGGGCTCCGATCTTTATGGAAAGCGGCCAGAAAGTAATAATTTTTCGCGGTACGATATGGGGCGAGATGATTTGTATGGGGATGGTGTGTTTGCGTATAATGGGGGCAAGGTGGAGCCATATGGGGCCCGTGGCACGATCCCAAAGTCATCGGCATCTACTTTGTTTGATGATTATGGGCGGTCGATTAGTTTGCCGTCTGGCAAGGACTCGCATTCATCAGTTGGTTCAGGTTCGAGTAAGATCGTGAGAGCTGTACCCAAAGCGGAAACGCAGCAGGATGTCAAGAGTGGAGTCCAAAAGTTTAGAGTTAAACTTTTGGCTGAAAGTGGCGGCCAGAGTACCATGGATGTGCTCTGCCAGGTATCGAAGTTTCTGTTTTATCTATGTGTCTTGATTTGGAAGATATATTAATTTAAAAATAATGGATTCTTTTTTTTTGGTTGGTTTAATTGTACTGCTTCGATTGATACTCTTTGTGAAGATAGTTCTATGATAATTCTTTATTCTTAATGTTGTGGTTTCATTATGCGCAACGTAGCTTTGATTGAACATAGATTGATGTTAGGTACTAGTAAGTAGAATGCTTTGATTAGAGTTCATCGGGCTGTACTTTGAATAATTTTAATTGCCATTTGGAAATCAGCAGAAAAATAGAATGTAAAATTTATTGGATTTTCACTGGGATGCACAAAAGGGAGGGTGAGTGGTGTTTTGATGGCGTGGGTTGGCATTCTCCGTGCTAGTGCATTGAACTGTTGACTGCCAATCGTCCTCAGTCTTTCAAGGGCACGATTGTTTATTTGTTTCATTAATAGTTCCATCATGAGTTTTGAAATTTTCTTGCAGATTGGCTTGGATGGGATTCGTATGCTTGATCCCAATACTAGCCGGACATTGAGAATATATCCTCTTGAGAATATCACAAGATGTGAAGTGAGTTGATCCATCCCTTTTAATTTTTTTTCACTCAGTGGTATGTACTGGCTTAATATTGAGATTGATGCTTTTTTTTATATGTAGCTGGCTGATTCTTCTACCTTAGCATTTTGGTCAAAGAGTTCTGTTGACATTGAACCAAGACGGATTAGATTGCAATCAAATAGTTACACTTCGAATACTCTTCTGGACACGGTGACAGCTGCAACCGTTCAGGTTAGGGATTATAAACTCGGAAATAAAAAATTTCTGCTTTAAAATGATATTATTGTTACATGTATTCTTTTCTTTAGAAAGTTAACGTGAATCAAGTGACTTAACAGTGTACATGACTATATCTCTTAAGATTTAGAAAATGGACCATGTATTTGTTATTACTACTGCTATTTTTATTTTCATTATTACATGCCATCTACTATGTTGAACTTATGTAGAGTAAAATACCCTGTGACGGAGGAACCTTGTAATTACATGAGTTGAACTGAATAAAATGTCTCATTAGAAATTGCTTGAAATATAAGTGTATATATTTAAAGCTTTTAAAGTATTTGGCTAGTGAGTGTATATGATGGGAATAACATTTGTATTTATAAGGTATCAGAAAGAACTTTTGTATTTTACAATAGAAAACTTGATTCAAATTAGGAGATTGTTGGTAATTGTTTTATATTGATCACACAAAACTTAGGCAGCTCCTTTCTTTAATTGGGAATATTGTAGAACCTTGCAACAATGAAAATGGGGTTGGCTTTCATGACCTTTGCTGTACATATTTTAGGCAAGATTCTTACATTGGAGATTTTATAGTTTAATGTTTCTCTCATGACCCAAGTGTGGATGACTTGGTTCCTTTTTATTTTAATCATCTTGTGGCATTGATCTGTGTGGTTCCTTTTTTTTTTCTTTTTTTTTTTAAATTTCAATTATATTGTGTTTGAAAATGTTGTTGTTTCATTGGGTTGCAGCTGAAGGAGATGGGCGGAAGAAGCAAGCCTTCTGACACCTTGAAGACAGCTGAACAGCTTGCGGAGAAAAAGAAAGGGTTAGCTGATTGGATGAACATAATAAAACCTGGGAACGAGGAGAAAGACCATTGGGTAAGATTTAAGGTTTTAGAAAAAAAATTTGGATGTATTTCATCTGCATATTGACCTTGTCAAATGTAATTTATTATACCATTGGAAGAAAGCTATTTTCCATTTTATTTGTATTCTTGAAGTTTTAGGTTGTTCTTATTTTATGTTTTGTTTTTGCTAGGTCCCTGATGAAGCAGTTTCTAAGTGTACAGCATGTAGCACAGATTTTGGGGCTTTTGTGCGAAAGGTACATATTTACAATGGCTTATGATATGTTTAGGATTTTGCAATGAACCTTATGGTCCTTCCTACTTCAGCATCATTGCAGGAACTGTGGTGATATTTTCTGTGACAAGTGTACACATGGTAGAATTGCTCTTACTGCTGATGAGAATGCTCAGCCGGTTAGAGTTTGTGACAGATGCATGGTAATTGTTTCAAATTTTGTCTTCTTAATCTTGTAGAACACTGTTTGGTTGTTATCTTGTTTTGATCAACTATTGATCTGAGTTCTAGCATGGTAGTAAAGATTATATTTAATGACACTGTTGAATCGAATATGCTTATTTTTACATCGTTACTAGTCTCCCTTGATATCTGTAGGGTTATTACTTACACAATTATTCATTACAGGCTGAAGTGACTCAAAGGCTAAGTAATGCTAAAGAAGCAGCTAACAAACCTGCATTGCAGAGTCATGAGGATCTTGCCAGGAAACTTCAGGTAATCAATGGTTTGAATTCAACCTTAGCTGTTGTTTGGGAGTTAATGTAGCTTAAACTCTTGACTTCGCTGTGAATTTATCTTATGGAAATCATCTGTGGCAGGAGGAAATGGAGAGAAATCGCAAGGCATCATCAGGTAATTTATCTTTTTTTTTTTTTTTTTCCTTAAAGTTACTTGAGTTTTGGAAGTATGGTTTCCTCGTGGTGCTTAAATAGATTCTTGTTGGACTCTCTGTATGTGAACTTTTTTTTTTTAATGTTTTATTGACTAGTTGCCTGATGGATTAGAATCAGTTTTAGAACATTCATTGACCTATTGTGTACCCAGTGCTAATTGAATGGTTTGCTTTCACAGGCTCCAAGACAGACGGATCTGGGAGACGGATGAGGGAAGTTGCTTGTCCTATTTGCACTGTCCATTTACAGGTTTGAAATCGTTGTCCACAATCTTTTAGGAAAAATCCATAAACACTTAAATATACATTCACTAATATTAATCTATAATCTCGTATGGGTGATTTTGATTATTGTTGCAGGTCCAGGTTCCCAGCTCGGGTTCCGAGACAATTGAGTGTGGGGTTTGCCAGCATCCTTTCCTTGTGAGTGCTCATTGATCTCACATGCATCGTACGACTGATGAAGGCGTGCCAATGTCTGTGGATATTATCTCTGGTTTATTTTATTTGTTCGGTTTTGGTTTATTAATACTTTGGATTAGCATGTATATCATCTTTTCTTGGTTTGTTCCAATGAACTCTATTGACCAGATGTCTGTCCATGACATCTTTAGTGTGCATATGGAATTCTTATAAGTTCCATTTAATTGAGTTGGCTGTTTATAAAACCGAGAGTTAATTTACAGAGGAATGTATGTAACTATTGTTTTTATGGTCAACCTATGGAATCATGATGCATGATAGATTGTTTCATAAAATGTGGTAATGGCTCCTTGAAAATAATGGGATTACATTCCTTCGCATCAGGTACATTTTAATACGCTCTACAATGGTCAGTTTTGGATAGAATATTTTGTAGATGATGATGTGTCCCATGCTGCATGGTTTTGATCCATGCAATGATTGGACAGAGTACAATGCATATAGGAGTCCATTTATTCCCGCTTTTAGGCAAGCAATAAAGATTGGCTCATTCATAAACTCTCTTTTACAACTTTTATGTGATAATTTTTAGTTTTTTCGTTGATGAATTTTGAATTTCAGAAAATTCATTAACAAAAAACTGGGGGTTGTCATCTCAGGATCATGAGAGAGAGTTTGTGAGATTGAGTTGTAAAGATAGTATCTTTGGACGAATTATTTCTTGTTGACATATTCTTGAGTTTAATTGGGTGAATCTAGTGTCACTATTCAGATCAAGACTACTTGTTTGGTTGAGGAATACATATTTTAGTATGCTAGGTGTTTGGTAGAGTGCCCAAGATAGGGAATATACATTTACAACACAAAGGGGTCATTTGGATCCGTGGTAAATAAGATAATGGGGATAATCTTCATTTATTTTGTAAGATTCTTGTGTTTGGTTTGTAAGTAATAAAATGTTATGGGAATCTTTTATTGTAAATAGTATTTATTGTTGGTAATGTGAGGGATAATCATATTACCTTGTCAGGGGGTGTTATTAAAATATTATCGAGATAATATGATTTTTTACTCATTTTGCCCTTAATTAAAAATTATTTCGAACACAATTATCCTCAAATGTCTATCAAATAACAATTAGCCTAACCTCCTTACATTTGAGAAATTAGTTAAAACACCTAACCATAAAAAAAAGTTTAAAAGTTGACAAAATCCCCTCTACCACCCATGACCACCTTCCACTGTGACTCATTATCATTGGCCACTAACGTCAGTAGCTATAATGGTGCACGACTAGCGAGATCTGGTTAGATGTGCCCCGAAAAGGCCTTTTCCAGTCATGGGTCACAGATCCATGGCAGGAAAAGGTCAGATCTAGTGTTTCTATTATTGTTTCATGGCCAAAGATGTGGTTGTAAAACGGCCACAGATCTGGCCTTGAAACAGCCACAGATCTGACCGTTTTTTGGACTATGGATTTGTGATCTATGACCATTTTTAGCTTTGTCAATGCACGACTGGTCATATACGACCAGTTGTGTGCCATTCCATCCACTATCGGTGGTGACTAGCGGTGGTGGTTGGCTGCGGGCAGTGGCTTGGGTTGGGTCAGAGTGATTGTGCTATAAATTAAAGTTTTATATGGTTGGAGTGTTTTAGCAAAGTTCTATATGGTTAGGGTGTTTTAGCAAAATTTCAAATGCATAGGGTTAAAAAATGATTTTAAAAATAATAATAAAAAATACTATTATATTAATATTTAAAAGGGGGACAATTTAATAATTTATATAACATACTTACCAATTTATCCTCCCAATCAAAGGTATTATTTACCAATTTATTCGTATCAATCAAACTTATTTTCTAAACATTCAAACTTATTTTCTAAACATTCTCAGTAATCTTCATGATAATTTTTTTTCGTTAATATAATATACTCATATAATAAAATATTATATGATCTAAATGTCCTAAAAGAGTTGATTAATTTCACCAAAAACATTGTATTCATAAGCCATTTGCTACTGGTTAAAGGATGTATTCAAGTAAATTGCCTCAATAGAAGGCGTTAATATATTTCTGGAGGATTGACGTGGTGAGGACCTTGTATGCTCTTTCTGTGGGATGGTAACTGTCCCAGAATACATAACTAGACGCATTTGAACAAACGGATGAAGTAAACCGGTTACATAATTCTGCCACCTCTATATTACCCGTGCCACAGCATCCTTTATCCGAAATCTCAAACCCTGAAGAGATCAAAGGAAAATATGAGTTGATTTATATCAAACTTACTGGTTAATTGTTCTTAAAAAAGATTGATTTATTTCATTACCATGTTGTTGAGGGTTTTGAATGAGATCGAGTAGGGGGTCATAAACATCTATATAGACAGCTCTGTTGTTGGGCATTTTGGTTTTGATGGAATCCAGTTTTGCAGAAAGTTTTTTGTTGAATAAAAGTGCTGCTTGGTTGAAATCATTTGCACACTCTCTACCATTTCCCCCTGCCAAAGTTCTTTGTGCTGGCACACATCCGATTGGCGGTGCACCGAAAACAGCAATTCTTCGTGCCCCCAATGCGTAAAGTTGCTTCATTTCAAATCATTTTCAATAAGTGAATAACAAATGTGGTTGGTGAAACGATTTCGATAAATAACTCAACTTACTTTGACAAAATCGGAAGCTGAGTTAGCCATAAGGTCGGAATAAGCTGAAACATCATATAGAGCTTTCCTAACACGGAGAGTAAAATAAGTATTTGCGATGTCATCGCTGCCAGCCACTACCAGAAATATACTGTTTGCCAATATGAAGTTTGTTTTATCTTCTCCAACTAGTCCTTTCAACTTGGTTATGTATTCTTGGAAGTGTTGCAATTGTTCTGATAGTGATATAACTGACTGATGTTTTTCACCAAGTTAGCTACATAATAAACTAATTCTGAAAAAGGAAAAGAGATGAGATACGATATTATTGGATGGAATTTATGTACCACTAATTTGGGTGTCAAAGGGTCATATCCTGAACCACCCGAAGCAAAGCAGACGCCGGTGGGGAGATCTGAAGATGACAAATTTGGATCCAAGTAAGCCGGCACAACCTCTTTAATTCCCAGTTCTTGCGCTGAATACATCCAAACAACTAAAACCATAAGGCTATTTCCCACCAAACACTGCTTTTTTAAACATTTTTCACTCATACGCTCTTCATCACTCTCCTCATAGAGAATATGTAATTAACCAATTGAAGAACATACTACTTTGCATAATTTTGATTAATTAAGAACAATTGTCGTTAGAGTACTGCAAGAAGACACAGGTCAACTTTATTGCGCCTTAGACTGGATTGCGAAATGGTTTTAATCCATAATCTATCAGCTGCATAAGCACGCCAAACAATCTCCACAATCATTTTATGGAACACAAGCCTTCTAATACAATTCTACGATGTAGAAAATCATTTAATGAAATACCAGTCTTTTAATACAATCTAATCCCGCCTTACATTTGCACATGAGAATATTGAAATCTTTTAAACGTTGAGAATAAGGAGGGTGCCCCACGTCTGTTTCTTAGCTCTACTCTACCCATGAGTTATAAGAGAAAATCTTGATTGGATCAGTTTGTACTGTTGATAGCCTAAGATATCAACACGTTAAAGTTTTGACAAATTGATTTCATTTCATATAATTGGAACGGGTAGCAGATCGTAGAAAAGTGTCACACTCATCACTCATGTATAGTTTTGATACAAATCAACACACATGTATGTATAAGCGAATCTAATCAGAAATGTAATAAATAGATAAAAAGGAGAAAAAGAGAGAAATTAAGAATGATTTGATAGGGTATACCTAAAAAGTCAGGAGGAACTTTTCCATTGCAAAACCTTCCTGTTGGAATTCCTCCCTTAAAATCTTGTCCATAAGGACGGAAATCACACTTAACAATTGTCCGGAGATTGTTGTTATTGCCTGTATCAACTATGGAGTCTCCAAACACCAGAACTGCTGGAAATGTTTCATTTGGTGGTATCTTTATTAAAGCTTTCGTAGTGCCAAAAAGCACAAAACAAAGAAGAGATATCGGTAACAGTAAGGTTGAAGAACAGTAACTAATAGAAGAAGAAGAAGAAGAGAGCTTCATTGTGAAGAGATGTTTGTTTCAGAGAACTCTTCTTCTTTCAACTTAGTTAAAGAATGAAAGCAAAAAGTACGCTAATAGTTCTTCATTTGCATGCTTCTCGTAGTCATATATATACACAAATAATACATAAAAAATATTTACCTTAGCTACATCTACGGCGCAGACATTTTTAAATTAGGTATAATTTCATTTGTCTCTACATACAGGTATTGGAGCCTTCCGCAGGCTTGGGTGACGACCTAAGAGTGGCTTCTTAAATACCCAATTAACATTGATAATTGTAGAATAATTAGAGGATAAAATTAAACTCTATAAATCAAAATTTGTAATTAATTATTTAAAGACTTTCATTTATGCTATATTTTGCAAATAAAAACCAGCAATTATTTCTCACCAATTTCAAAACTAAGTACGAACTTATTAACCTGTTTTGATGTGTGAGTTATCCTTGCAAGTTTCATCCAAGCAGTTTGGAACTAATACTAAAGAAGAATAGCAATATATTGATAGGGTCTTCAAAGTTCAACTACTCGTATCTGTCTTGATTATCAACAACATATTTGAAGAAAAAACAAATTTCTAAATAGCATCCGTAATTACGTGCAAATTAATTAAGACCAGGTTCTTGTGCTTTTCTTCTTACATACAAAGTCTAATCATCTAATTCTCAATCTTATATTTTTGTTATACCTAAAAATCATGATTCACATAAACTGACGTCAATGAGCATCAATCAATTCACATAAAATTTCTAAGACCTTCTTTAACACTTTACAAGTGCAAGTCATTAGTGGTAAATTTCAGCATCAACATTTTTAATGTTTATCGGATTGAAATTATTCAGAAAGCATCCACTCAATTTATCTGTAGCTGTTAAAAAGATTCAATCCTACTATAAGCAGCCTATTGAAATAGAGCTATCTCTACTCTTCAAGTCATGCAGAGCAAACCTACTCCCAACTAAAGGAACAAGTTACAATCTTCAGTTTTATGTTTTTTGATATGCGACTTCACCAGTACTCAAGATTATGATGATTAAGTTCTGTGTTAAATTAAGTTGTTTAATTGTTTATGGTAATATATAATTAAAAACGATGTCCTCGCAGTCACAGAAAAGAAAAGGCAACTGAAATTGCCCTAACAAGTGGACGGTTTGTATTATACGAAAAAAAAAAAAAAAAAAACAAACAAACAAAAAGAGTTGGTGCCGAACGGTTTGATCTCTCGTGCTCAAGAGTGAAAGATTACTGCAGAAGTGACGCACTTTTAAAGGTTGGTGACCTACCTGATGGAGCCAAGAAATCCTTTTTTTATTCGTAATCAAGAGAATTGTCACTCATCTATGGGGAGAATCAAATTGCAGTTTGATTATTGCAACGTATGTTCTCAGGCTCAGCTCAAAATGATAACAGGAGGGTTCATGTTTATCCAGCAAGTAAAGTAGTTCGGTGAACAACTAGACACCAAATTCTATGGGGACTCTCAACTCTGGAATAAACCAGGTGGTGAAAATAAAAAAATAAATAGATATATATTATTAAAACATATACAGTTCTTCTTCGTGTACAATTTGTGATGTTCAAAGGTTGAAGAAAGACTTGGAAACGTATAAAGATGATGTGGAGTTGATGAATTAAACATACGATTGAAGGAACTTGGAGTAAGGTGAAGCTGTCTATTTCAAGTTAATTTACTTCAAACTTGAAAGTAGGTTTGCTTTATTAATTGCTGACTGACACTCTGTTTTGAAGAAGATGTCAAGTATCCGTCTTGAGTTTTGGACCTTCTTTTCTGTTGGTAGATACCATATATCATCATCATCATATGCATGCTATTAATTGTTTTCTGACTTAGATAGGATGTGCCCGTTCCTGTTGGGCATTAATTTTCAATTAATTTCTTAAGATATTTTTTTGATCTGTAATACAGTTAATAATAAAGAGAAAGAAAATTTAGGAGGTCGATTGTAATCTAATAATCTAACCATTGATTTATGGTTTAAATGATTGATTAGGGTTTGACTCTAGATTTTGATTATGTAATTATTTTGTTATTATTTAGAATAATTTTTTTCTACCCAAATAATGATTTAATGACACTTTTTCACCTACAACCTTTTAAAATACCACTTTACTATTTAAATTTATATTCTCTTTCTGATTATGGCATCGTTGCGATCTTACATCACCACCATTTTCTTCCCGATCATTACTCACCAAAATCCCTAAAATCTTGCTCCTGCCAACTCTGCTAATCGCTAGCAATAGAACGATTAGAGTTTGTGCAGTCAATCCTCCCAAGTTAAATTTCGATCAATCTCAACCACAAAATCCAACCTTCTACCACCAAAAGACTCGTCGGCCTCCTCTCTTCAAAAGCCCCAATAGCTTGGATCGAGTTTACTCTATGTTCTCTACTGGAATATAAATTTGGATAACAAAGTGGTATTTTAAAAGTCTGTGGGTAAGAAAGTGTCATTAAACCATTATTTGGGTGGGAAAAAATTGTTAACTGTATTATTTATATATACTGAAGTTGCAATAATTATTAACAAAGGGCTTTTTGCTGGATGGTTGTGTATAGAGCTGGGCATTTGGGACCGGGCCCAAAAGCCCAACTCTAAAACCCAGTCCTAGGACCGGTCATTGAGAGGACCGGACCTAGGAGGCCTGGTCCCAAAACGGGACCAGGCCTAAGGAGGAGGGCCCGGGCCCTCCACTAGGCCCTCCTCCAAGGTCCCAGCCTGAGCCCAAATTTGTTTGTATTATTTCAATGTAGTCCCTTACCAAATTACATAAAACCCCCTGTTAATTTTAAAATAAATATAAATTATGAGGGCTAAAATGAAATTTTACAAAATGTATAAAAAAAATCTTCCAGGTCTAAAAAATTTATAAAATTTATAAATTTTACCCCTAAAAAATACTAAAAACCCCCTATAAAATTTCATTTTACCCCCAAAATATAAAAAAATTGAGGGGGAAAAATAAAATTATCCAAGGCCCATGGGACCGGTCTTGGGCCCATGGGACCAGTCCCGACCAGGCCTAGGGCCTAGTTTGGGTCCTGGTTTTTCTCATGGGCCTAGGACCGGTCCCAGGCCCATAAGTGACTGGTCCCATTTGGGACCAGTCCCAAACGGGCCCAGGCCTAGGCCCGCAAGGGACCGGTCCCTTGCCCACCTCTAGTTGTGTACTTATGTTTTTGTCTAGGAGGATGGTTTGAGATACTTCACTGAAAATACTTATTTTGAGAATGATAATTTTCTTTGTAATTGTACAAAATCTAATATTTTTTTACTAATAAATGGGTAGATCATTGTCTTGATTCTCATTTGAGCATCCGCGATTTAGGTGGGGACTGTGGCAGTAGGTTGTTGTATTAGTCTTTTTCGAGGATTAGTCGAGATACGCATAAACTGGTTGAGATACCTTAATTAAAAAAAGTAAAAAAGGTAGATCATTGTCAGTTTCAAAAATTTTAGAAGATCATTTTTAATTTCGATAAACTTCAATACACTTTAGTTAGGTCTATATAATTATCTTTTGTTAATTAACTATGTAATTAGGAGCTTTAGCTAATGAATATGCTCATCTTATTCATCATCATCAGGCAGCTTAAAATATGTAGGCGTACTTCTGCACTGCAGTGTTCAGTTAGTGATACGACATGTAAATTAAATGAGAGAAGATATTTAATTGTATCATTAATTATTAGTAACTATTAATTTATGATCAAATATTGATTTCTACTTTGATGACTTTATTAATTGATACTAATTATATCATATCTTATCATATATTGATTTCTACTTTGATGACTTTATTAATTGATTCTAATTATATCATATCTTATCATATATATAGAAGTAAATGACATATAAGTATATAACCACCCAAGGTTTGGCGAAATGGTAAGTTCTCTGACCCTGATTTCATAAATTCCAAATTCTTACCCTTAAATTAATAGCATTAGTGGTTTTTGGATTTTGATTCAGTATAAAGAGTACAATTACCAAACTTTCCTTGACAAATAGATTAATAAATTACTTTTTAACCCCCAAAATCTCTAAAATCCAACCTCGAAACAAACCAATAAATACCAAAATCACAAACCCTAGACGACGAACGGTGAGTAAGTAGGGGGAACTGTTGGGGGTTTTTCTTAGGAGATGCCGGTGAATCCAATGGTGGTATCGGGGATAATTTTTTGTGACAAATTCGGCCAGAAAATGGCCGAAAAAGTGGGTAATCGCGTGAAAAATACAGGTGGTGTTCACCGACGATTGGTGGGTGCTCCAGGGTAGAGGTGAAACGGGTTTTGGTGGGGAGGATATGAGGGTGTCAATGGTGGAGTCAGAGAGGGTCGTCGGTGCTGGATTCTTGCCAAATCGGGCCAAAAAAGGCGACGGCTAAGGTGGGTTTTTTTTCTTTTGATTTCGTTGATTGATTGTTTGGTTGTGTGAGGAAGTTTGATTGTTTGGTTGAGGGTGATGAATCCTGTCTATTTGGGTGAGAAATCTGGCAGGATCTTATTGTTATTATGTAATACCATTGATGCTTGATTTTGACACCAACTATTCACACATGCAAAGTGCTAAGCAGATTTATAAATTACACGTGAACTGGAAAATGAAATAAATAAAAGGGAGATGATTTTTAAAGTGGTTCGGATGCTCAAAGCGAATCCTATATCCACTATCTTTTTATTTATGAAAGACTACAATTAGGTCGCATGTAGTAATTAGAGAGAACATAAATACAGAGAGGGAGAGAGAGAGAGAGAGTTTATATTATCAGAATTAGAATCCCAAAAAATGAGAGGGGAGCTTTCTATTTATAGTAAGAGGTTTCTAAGTAATCATTACAAGTCTGCTAGTGGGCAGGTGTCGTACAGTTCCTACCCTGCTTCCCATTGGCCGGTTGCACAGAAGATATCCTTAAATCGCATAGGGCTTGGGCAGGTAAGTGACTCCCAGCCACTCACTTGTCAGGCCTTTACTTGGCAAGTTGATGACAGTCTTACTCCTTCTGTCCTTGGACGAAGTGGCAGCGCCTGGATGGC